CCCCTGCCTTGCGGCCATTGGCTGGCGGGAAGGCAGGGCTCGTGGGATTGGCTGGCGCCCAGACGGTGATGGATGGCTCCCGCGGGCGGGGCCGCGGCCGGGCGGGGCTCTCGGCGGATCGGTGGAGGCGGGGCGGGGCGGGGCGGGCCGGCCCGGGCTGGGATGGGGCGGGGGGCGCTGGAAGCATGAGCGGAAGCCCGCCTGCGTCTCAAACTCCCCGTGCCCTCAACCTCCCTCTGTAGCTCCACTATGTAGAGGAAGAGATCTTATCTCTGGATGCCCAGTAGATACCCTTTAATCCTGATGTAGACAATATTGATTAATTCACCCCGAGCAGGTCGGGCACAACCCCTTTTCTTTCCAACCTGGGTCTCATTCATTCAACAATATTTGACGTCCGGGTGTGGTGGTCAACGCCTGTTATTCCAGCACTTTGGGAGACCGAGAGGAGAGAATTGCTTGAGTCCCGGAGTTCGAGACCAACCTGAGCAACAAAAAAAGTAGCAATATTTGTTGGTTCAAATAATTGCGTTTTTGCCATGTGACTGATTAGATGGAGCAGTGGGGTGGAGGGTTGAAAGGAGGGAAGAGATTTGAGCGATAGTTCAAGGTAGAAATACCTTTATTTATTAATTTTTTTGAGTCAGAGTTTCACTCTGTCGCCCAGACTGGAATGCAGTGGCATGATCAGGACAATCACGACTCAAGGCAGCCTCGACCTCCTGGACTCAGGCGAGCCTCCTGGCACAGCCTCCCAAGTAGCTGGGACTACCGGCGTGCACTGTCATGCCTAACTAACTTTTTTTTTTTTTTTTGGTTGAGATGAGGTCTCGCTATGTTGCCTAGGGTGGCCTCAAACTCCTGGGCTCAAGCAATCCGCCCACCTCGGTGTCCCAGAGTCACCACACCCAGCCTAGAAATACCTTTAAAAATCAAATTATGTTCTATATCTTGATCTGAGTAGTGGTAAAAACTCCTAGAGCCTACACTTAAGATGTGTGCGCGTTCCTGTAGGTGTCATATTTCTTTTTTTTTTTTTTTGATTCAGAGTCTCTGTCACCCAGGCTGGAGTGCAGTGGCACACTCATGGCCACCGCAACCTCGGCCTGCTGGGGTCCGGCGATCTTTCCACTTCAGCCTTCCAAGTAGCTGGAACTACAGACATGTACCATCATGCCCAGCTAATTTTATTATTTATTGTAGAGATGAGGTCTTGCCAAGTTGCCCAGACTGGTCTGGGCATTACAGGCTGAGTCACTGTGGTCATATTTCAATAAAAAGGAAAACTAAATTAATCAAATGGCTGCCAAGCTACATTCTAGTATCACTGTTTGTATGACCCTCATCTGTTTCCAATCTCGTCCTCATCTCTGTCAGCTGAAACTGGAAAACAACTAAGAGGAGGATCTAGAGAAATTAGTGTGAAACACAAGTAAACTTGATACTGGACAACAAAGTGAAACTCTTTTTTTTGAGTCAGGGTCTTGCTCTGTTGCCCAGGATGGAATGCAGTGGCAGGATCTAGCAGATCACAACTTACGGCAGCCTCAACCTCCTGGGCAATCCTTCTGCTTCAGCCTCCCGAATAGCTGGGACTACAGGCCCGCACCACCATGCCCAGCTAATTTTTTTTATTTTTTATTTTTGTAGAGTTATGCTTTCACTATGCCACCCAGGGTGGTCTCCAATTCCTGAGCTCAGGCAATCCTCCTGCCTCCCTCTCTCAAAGTGTTGGGATTACAGGTGTTGAGCCTCTGCGCCCAGCCATCCTGTCTCTAGTTACAAAAAAAAAAAAAAAAAGCTTGAATGGTGTGTGTTTGCGTGGAGTGTTGAGACCTGAGGCTTCTCCCAGACAAGTTGTGACTCGTTCACAGCAGGCAACAAACATCATGCTGAAAAATAACTGCCATTTATGGAGTTTGCTACTCTGTACAGCTTTACAGCTTAGAATTACCGTTGTCCTCGAAACAGCCAGCAAAGTAGATATTGTCAGCTTTCTGTTTACAAATGAGGGGACTGGGGAACTGGGAGTTTGGATAATTTGCCTCAGGACACAGAGGTGAGATTTTTTTTTTTTTTTGAGTTGGAGTCTCATTCTGTCGCCCAGACTGGAGTGCAGTGGCCGCTCCCGGCCACCGCAGCCTCGACCTGCTGGGCTCCGGCGATCCTTCCGCCTCAGCCTTCCGAGTAGCCGGAATTACAGGCACGCGCTACCACGCCCGGCTGATTTTTTGATTGATTGTAGAGATGAGGCCTCGCTGCCCAGGCGGGTCTCGAACCTGCGGGCTCAGG